GTTTATTTCAATGACCAGGGAACAAAAATAAGACATGAAAGAGGAGGGTGGCCAAATTGCAAATTTTTAGGTTGCCAGAAAGCCTTTGACACAGTACTCCATAGGAGTTTAGTGCATAATTGCGAGATGAAGGCAGGAGTAACAGGAAAAGTTCCCTAATGAACAAGGGAGTACATAAAAAAACAGAAGACAGCATATTATGGAGGAGTTAGACCTCAGAGTGGTGAGATGCCAATAGTGGAGTCCCATAGGGTTCAGTTCCTTAACTCAATCCTTTCATTGATGCGTAAAATATGGGGAGGATTATGAAAGAGGAAGACTGCCAGAGGCTACAAGTCGATATGGACAAATTGAAGGAATAGTCCAACAAATGGGCACAAGAGTTTAACTCAAGACAATGTAAAGTAATGAAGGCAGGTGGAGGGAGAAGGAGGCCAGACACAAAGTATCAAATGGGAGATGGCCGGACACGAAAACGGACAGAGAGAAGAATCTAGGAGTTGATATCACACCGAACCTGTATCCCAAAGCCCACATAAAAATAATATCATCACTGGTATATGCGAGGCTGCCTAACATCAGAACTGCCTTTAGACATATTTGTATGAAGTAATTTTAACGTTATATACCACAAATGTCAGACCAATTCTGGAACAAGGGGCTCCAGCGAGGAGCCAATGCCTATCCAAGCAAAAGACATAGTAGAAGAAGGTTCAAAGGTATGCCACATAATTAGTTCTAGAACTTCGAGGTAAGAGGTACGAGTAAAGGCAAAGTGAATCGAACCTCATATAGCTGGAAAACAGAAGAGTCAGGGGGAGACATGATTACTAAATACAAAATTCTGAAAGGAATTGATGTGGTAGAAATACATCGTTTATAACCAACCCATCTTCCTGTTTTGGCAGTACTATAGTATATGATGAGGACTATAGTATATATAGCGACGTACAACGAAATTAGAAAGTAGAAATCGGTACTATTAAGTTGGACAAATAGAAAATCTATTTTCTACTTTTGTTGCAAAAACAAACTAAAGTAACCTAACCAAACATTCCTAGGCATAATACACGATATCTGAGGCTTAATATAGTACATGTGTGTGCCACACTAACCCTAGGAATATTTAAGTCTATTTTTAGCTTCATTTTTTTTCCGACTCAATAAAGTGAATAGTACAAAGTTCTACTATCTAATTGCTTACAATTGCATTCTTTATACTACAGTGCACATAGTTACAAAAACTACTATCTAAACAGGAGAAAGGGTTGTTATACCCCACTACCTGTTTATACTATCTCCTACTCCATGACCCACTACCTGTTTATATTATCTCCTACTCCATGACCCACTACCTGTTTATATTATCTCCTACTCCATGACCCACTACCTGTTTATATTATCTCCTACTCCATGACCCACTACCTGTTTATACTATCTTCTACTCCATGACCCACTACCTGTTTATACTATCTTCTACTCCATGACCCACTACTTGTTTATAATCTGGCCTCTACTCCATGACCCACTACCTGTTTATACTATCTTGTACTCCATGACCCACTACCTGTTTATACTATCTTGTACTCCATGACCCACTACCTGTTTATACTATCTTGTACTCCATGACTTGTTTATATTTATATTTAGTACTTGTTTATACTATCTTCTACTCCATGACCCACTAACTGTTTATACTATCTTCTACTCCATGACCCACTACTTGTTTATACTATCTTCTACTCCATGACCCACTAACTGTTTATACTATCTTCTACTCCATGACCCACTACTTGTTTATAATCTGGCCTCTTACTCCATGACCCACTAACTGTTTATACTCTGTCCTCTACTACGTGACCCACTACCTGTTTATACTCTGTGTAGATAAGGACGGGCTGTGATGAGGAAGGGTTACTCTCTGAACATTTGAACAATGATTGGGGTCTTGGCGGACTGTTGATAAACGCAATCACGAACGAAAATAAGATCACAAAACGCATTATTCACTCAAAATTTAGGCTCAAACTATTGAGTCGTCTTTATAGGGAATAAGTGCCAAAACGTTAATGGAGAAGATTGTTCTGGCTTAGCATCATACACAGACTCAGGATTTTGTCTTCATAACCGTCATAGAGAGAAGATGATGAAACTAAAGCTACCGAGCCGCTAGGAATGTAACCTTACGACTTGCTACACAAACCCAGACGTTGGTGTCAACATGAGACCCTTGTGTTTCACTTCTCATAACAGAACCTAGACAACGCTGGTGTAATCAGGCCAAAATCCAGTTAGGCTATGATAATGTTTAATAATACTACATATATTACTGCTTATATGTCGTTGTGTTGACTCCACCTACATTCGTTATAGTAGTTGTAGTGTTGACTCCACCTACATTCGTTATAGTAGTTGTTGTGTTGACTCCACCTACATTCGTTATAGTAGTTGTAGTGTTGACTCCACCTACATTCGTTATAGTAGTTGTAGTGTTGACTCCACCTACACTCCTTATAGTAGTTGTAGTGTTGACTCCATCTACACTCCTTATAGTAGTTGTAGTGTTGATTCCACCTACACTCGTTTTAGTACTTTTTTTAAACAAAATAAATACAACATAAAAGGTACCAAAGCACTAAAGAAAACCGAGCATAAGCTCCACACCACACATCAACAAACACCATAGTACAGAAATGCAACATAAAACATACAGAGTAACACCTCACAGAACAAAAAATATAACAAGGAGCACAGAATAACAATAAACATAAGGGACGTGCCAATATTGGACAGTAACTAACAGTGGGAGCCGGTCGGCCGAGCGGACAGCACGCTGGATTTGTGATCCTGTGGTCCTGGGTTCGATCCCAGGCGCCGGCGAGAAACAATGGGCAGAGTTTCTTTCACCCTATGCCCCTGTTACCTAGCAGTAAAATAGGTACCTGGGTGTTAGTCAGCTGTCACGGGCTGCTTCCTGGGGGTGGAGGCTTGGTCGAGGACCGGGCCGCGGGGACACTAAAAAGCCCCGAAATCATCTCAAGATAACCTCAAGATAACTACAAAAGTGTATAAAAGAAAACACAATAAAACTAAGGTAAAATAAAAAAGAATAAAATGTAAAACAAACGTAAAACACACGCAACATGTGTCACGCCACACAACAGTAGACACCATACCACAGAACCAGAAACACAGAACACACACATGAACATAGCTCAGACAAAAGAATACGTCCCACACTGCACACAGAAACCCTGCGTACAACACAATACACCACCAATGGGGAAACACAATTAGAGATACATAATAGAACATAGTACACACAAACACAGGAAATAGAACATAGTACACACAAACACAGGAAATAGAACATAGTACACACAAACACAGGAAATAGAACATAGTACACACAAACACAGGAAATAGAACATAGTACACACAAACACAGGAAATAGAACATAGTACACACAAACACAGGAAATAGAACATAGTACACACAAACAAGAACCCGCACCACCCATACGGAGTGTGCCAACAGGAAACATGATAGAAAGCACATAACACAAGGCAGCCATCTTGTTATAGTAGTTGTAGTGTTGACTCCACCTACACTCGTTATAGTAGTTGTAGTGTTGACTCCACCTACACTCGTTATAGTAGTTGTAGTGTTGACTCCACCTACACTCGTTATAGTAGTTGTAGTGTTGACTCCACCTACACTCGTTATAGTAGTTGTAGTGTTGACTCCACCTACACTCGTTATAGTAGTTGTAGTGTTGACTCCACCTACACTCGTTATAGTAGTTGTAGTGTTGACTCCACCTACACTCGTTATAGTAGTTGTAGTGTTGACTCCACCTACACTCGTTATAGTAGTTGTAGTGTTGACTCCACCTACACTCGTTATAGTAGTTGTAGTGTTGACTCCACCTACACTCGTTATAGTAGTTGTAGTGTTGACTCCACCTACACTCGTTATAGTAGTTGTAGTGTTGACTCCACCTACACTCGTTATAGTAGTTGTAGTGTTGACTCCACCTACACTCGTTATAGTAGTTGTAGTGTTGACTCCACCTACACTCGTTATAGTAGTTGTAGTGTTGACTCCACCTACACTCGTTATAGTAGTTGTAGTGTTGACTCCACCTACACTCGTTATAGTAGTTGTAGTGTTGACTCCACCTACACTCGTTATAGTAGTTGTAGTGTTGACTCCACCTACACTCGTTATAGTAGTTGTAGTGTTGACTCCACCTACACTCGTTATAGTAGTTGTAGTGTTGATTACAATAACACACGATGGAGAGTAGATAGCAGATAAAATACATTAGGCAGTGATATGGTGGAGGCAGACTCCATTACATAGTTTCAAGTGCAGATATGATAGAGCCCAGTAGACTCCAAAATCTGTAAACCAGTTGATTGACAGTTGAGAGGCGGGACCAAAGAGCAGCAGCTCAGCCCCTGCAACCACAACTAGGTAAGTACACGTTACAGTAGTTATAGTGGTGTGTGTGTGTGTGTGTGTGTGTGTGTGTGTGTGTGTGTGTGTGTGTGTGTGTGTGTGTGTGTGTGTGTGTGTGTGTGTGTGTGTGTGTGTGTGTGTGTGTGTGCGTGCGCGTGAGTTTGTGCAAGGGATTGGGAGGGGGGTGGAGACGGAGCAGGACTGGGAGAATATCAACTCATAACAGGATATTCCTGGCCGTTATTTACTATCTGATAAGTCCATAAAAGTTATCCGTTCAGCATCTACAGTCGGGCCAGGGCATTAGGAGCTCTCATTGTTTAATTCCAACAGTACTCTCACCTCTGGGTATATGTAAACACGACAAACAATTTGCTCATACGCTCTTGGTGCGTTCGACGACAGACGCAGCACTGCCGCAGTTGTCGTACAGCGCCGGCAACTCGCGGAGAGCAGACGCAGTGAGATCTATCGACTCCACTCCTGGAGAACGCTTCTCTTTACAAGTATTTTACCTAACGTGACATACTGAAAGATGAATCAGCTGGATCAGGACGAGAAACTGATCATCGAGGTGCAACAGTACCCGGGATTGTATGATCAAGGCAGCTATGACTACCGGGACTTGAGGAAAAAAGAAAGCATGTGGCAGTCTGTAGCAGACAGCCTAGGCCTGCATGGTTAGTTCTCTCCAACAAATCTTTCATTTTTCTCCACGTAGATTTAATATCGAATTAATTATTTTGACTGTGTGTGAGTGAGTTTAAACAGGTCCGTCTGAAGAGAAATTTCTTAAGATTATTAAGAAGGATCTAAACAGATAACATGCAGTCACACGATTTAATACAAACGTCAATAATGGTTGCTGCCTCGCTGCTTCACATCTTTGACCGGAGTTGGCGAGGTGGTGGTGTTGACCTGTGGTGGTGGTGGTGATCTGTGGTGACCTGTGGTGGTGGTGGTGCTGTCATGTGGTGGTGGTGGTGATCTGTGGTGACCTGTGGTGGTGGTGGTGATCTGTGGTGACCTGTGGTGGTGGTTGTGATCTGTGGTGCTGACATGTGGTGGTGGTGGTGATCTGTGGTGACCTGTGGTGGTGGTGGTGATCTGTGGTGACCTGTGATGATGGTTGTGATCTGTGGTGTTGACATGTGGTGGTGGTGGTGATCTGTGGTGACATGTGATGGTGGTGGTGATCTGTGGTGACCTGTGATGGTGGTGGTGATCTGTGGTAGAGGTGGTGATCTGTGGTGGTGGTGGTGGTGGTGACCTGTGATGGTGGTGGTGATCTGTGGTGTTGACAAGTGGTGGTGGTGGTGATCTGTGGTGACATGTGATGATGGTTGTGATCTGTGGTGGTGGTGACCTGTGATGTTGGTGGTGATCTGTGGTGGTGGTGGTGGTGACCTGTAATGGTGGTGGTGATCTGTGGTAGAGGTGGTGATCTGTGGTGGTGGTGACCTGTGATGTTGGTGGTGATCTGTGGTGTTTACATGTGGTGGTGGTGGTGATCTGTGGTGTTGACATGTGGTAGAGGTGGTGATCTGGGGTGAAGGTGATGATCTATGGGTGGTGGTGGTGATATGTGGTGAACTGTGGTGGTGATCTGTGGTGATGATGGTGATCTGTGGTGAGGGTGGTAATCTATGGGTGGTGGTGATGATATGTGGTGACCTGTGATGGTGGTGATCTGTGGTGAAAGTGGTGACTTGTGATGGTGATGGTGACCCTGTGGTGGTGGTGATCTCTGGTGGTGGTAGTAAATATGACCAGTGGTGGTGGTGATTTGTGCTGACCTGTGGTGATGGTGGTGACCTGTGGAGGTGGTGGTGATCTGTGCTGACTTGTGGTTATGATTGTGACCAGTAGTGGTGGTGACCTGTGGTGACCTGTGGTGACCTGTGTTGGCCTGTGATGAGGGTGGCGATCTGTGGTGACCTTTGGCGGTGATGGTGATCTGTAGTGACCTGGGGTGGTGGTGACCTGTGGTGATGATGGTGCCCTGTGGTGGTGGTGAACTGTGGTGATGATGGTGACCTGTTGTGGTGGTGGTGATCTCTGGGTGGTGGTGGTGATCTGTGGTGACCGTTGGTGATGATGGTGATCTGTGGTGGTGGTAGCCTGTGGTGAGGGTGGCGATCTATGGTGACATGCGATGGTGGTAACCTGTGGTGACCTGTGGTGGTGATGGTGATCTGTGGTGACCTATGGTGATGATGGTGCCGTGTTGTTGTAGTGGTGATCTGTGGTGATGATGGTGATCTGTGGTGGTGGTAACATGTGGTGATGATGGTGAACTGTATTGGTGGTGATGACCTGAGGTGGTGACCTTGGTGGTAGTGGTGAACTGTGTTGGTGGCGTTGACCTGTGTTGGCGGTGACTTGTGGTGGTGGTGACCTGTGATGGTGGTGGTGGTTATGACCTGTGGTGGTGACCTGTGGTGGTGGTGGTGACCTGTAGTGGAGGTTGTGGTTGTGACCTGTGGTGGTTATGACTGTGATAGTGGTGACCTGGGGTGGTGGTTGTAAACTGTGGTGGCAGTGATCTGAATAGTAACGATTTGTGGTGGGAGTAGTGACCTTTGGGGTGGGGGGGGGGAGACTATGAGGAGTGGTGTCCTGTTGTGGGAGTAGTGACCTGTGGGGGGTGGCTGTGAAGAGTGGTGTCCTGTTGTGGGAGTAGTGACCTGTGGGGTGGGGGAGGGGTGGCTGTGAAGAGTGGTGTCATGTTGTGGGAGTAGTGACCTGTGGGGGGTGGCTATGAAGAGTGGTGTCATGTGGGAGTAGTGACCTGTGGGGGGTGGCTATGAAGAGTGGTGTCATGTGGGAGTAGTGACCTGTGGGGGGTGGCTGTGAAGAGTGGTGTCATGTGGGAGTAGTGACCTGTGGGGGGTGGCTATGAAGAGTGGTGTCATGTGGGAGTAGTGACCTGTGGGGGGTGGCTATGAAGAGTGGTGTCATGTGGGAGTAGTGACCTGTGGGGGGTGGCTGTGAAGAGTGGTGTCCTGTTGTGGGAGTAGTGACCTGTGGGGTGGGGGAGGGGTGGCTGTGAAGAGTGGTGTCATGTTGTGGGAGTAGTGACCTGTGGGGGGTGGCTATGAAGAGTGGTGTCATGTGGGAGTAGTGACCTGTGGGGGGTGGCTATGAAGAGTGGTGTCATGTGGGAGTAGTGACCTGTGGGGGGTGGCTGTGAAGAGTGGTGTCATGTGGGAGTAGTGACCTGTGGGGGGTGGCTATGAAGAGTGGTGTCATGTGGGAGTAGTGACCTGTGGGGGGTGGCTATGAAGAGTGGTGTCATGTGGGAGTAGTGACCTGTGGGGGGTGGCTATGAAGAGTGGTGTCATGTGGGAGTAGTGACCTGTGGGGGGTGGCTGTGAAGAGTGGTGTCCTGTTGTGGGAGTAGTGACCTGTGGGGGGTGGCTGTGAAGAGTGGTGTCCTGTTGTGGGAGTAGTGACCTGTGGGGGGTGGCTGTGAAGAGTGGTGTCCTGTTGTAGGAGTAGTGACCTGTGGGGGGTGGCTATGAAGAGTGGTGTCATGTGGTGGGAGTAGTGACCTGTGGGGGTGGCTGTGAAGAGTGGTGTCCTGTTGTAGGAGTAGTGACCTGTGGGGGGTGGCTGTGAAGAGTGGTGTCCTGTTGTAGGAGTAGTGACCTGTGGAGGGTGGCTATGAAGAGTGGTGTCCTGTGGTGGGAGTAGTGACCTGTGGGGGGTGGCTGTGAAGAGTGGTGTCATGTGGTGGCAGTAGTGACCTGTGGAGGGTGGCTATGAAGAGTGGTGTCCTGTGGTGGGAGTAGTGACCTGTGGGGGGTGGCTGTGAAGAGTGGTGTCATGTGGTGGCAGTAGCAACCTGTGGTGGTTGCTGGTGACCTGAGGTGCTGGTTGTGTCCTGTGGATGTGGTGGCGACCTGTGATGCTGGTGGTGTTGATCTGTGGTGGGAGAGGTACCATGTGATGCGGGTGCTGCTGATCTGTGGTGGGAGAGGTACCATGTGATGCTGGTGGTGCTGACCTATGGTGGGAGAGGTACCATGTGATGCGGGTGGTGCTGACCTATGGTGGGAGAGGTACCATGTGATGCTGGTGCTGCTGATCTGTGGTGGGAGAGGTACCATGTGATGCTGGTGCTGCTGACCTATGGTGGGAGAGGTACCATGTGATGCTGGTGCTGCTGACCTATGGTGGGAGAGGTACCATGTGATGCTGGTGCTGCTGACCTATGGTGGGAGAGGTACCATGTGATGCTGGTGCTGCTGACCTATGGTGGGAGAGGTACCATGTGATGCGGGTGGTGCTGACCTATGGTGGGAGAGGTACCATGTGATGCTGGCGGTGCTAATCTGTGGTGGGAGAGGTACCATGTGATGCTGGTGCTGCTGACCTATGGTGGGAGAGGTACCATGTGATGCTGGTGCTGCTGATCTGTGGTGGGAGAGGTACCATGTGATGCTGGTGCTGCTGATCTGTGGTGGGAGAGGTACCATGTGATGCTGGTGGTGCTAATCTGTGGTGGTAGTGGCGACATGTGATTCTGGCGTTGGGAATTTACCCAGCAAAGGATTGTTTGAGTACTGTTAAAATACTAAAGAATTTTACTTTAAATTAAATGAATGAAATGGCCTGTACATAGTAAGTGGACTGTATTATCCTTATGAATAAAAACGTAATTATTTGTTTGTTCAAAATCGCTAATCTCCGAAAGTTCTTCACCGATTGTTTTGAAATTGCGATATAACGTTTCATTCGCACCCGAGCGGGCTTCTATATACATACTATATAGATGTCACGTCTGTGGCAGGAAAAAAAGTTTTTTTGAAAATCTGTGTTTTTCATGAGTTTTCCATGCATAGGAAATCTTTGAAACCTCTTTACCGATTACTTTGAAATTTTGACACAACGTTACATTCGAATAGGCGCGTGTTTTTATATACTTACTATATACATGTCTCACCTGTTACAGGGAAAAAACATGTTTTTTTTTTTTAAACAGCTCCATATGTTGGACGTAGGAGCAAAACACTCTGTAATCTCTGAAAGTTCTTCATCGATTGCTTTGAAATTTTGACACAACGTTCCATTCGAATTCGCGCATGTTTTATATACCTGTTATATAGATGCCACACCTGTGATAGGTAAAAACATGTTTTTTTTTTTTTTAAAAACAGCACCATCTGTTGCACATAATGGCAACACACGCTATACTAAATATGTTACAATTCCATTTCAATGTTTCCGATTGCATTGATCAATTTCATTTTCATTGATAAGGATTTATTTTTATTTTTATTTAAATATTTAGTGTGACATTACGTTGGAATTGAGCTGTGTTGTTTACCATATTGTTCATTTCGTGAGTATAGTTTATTTTTTTATTTTTACATTGTTTTTCGTTTCGTTTGTTTAATTGTTCTACTTATTTTTCAATGATGGGAACTTCAGATCATTTGATGTTCCCATTTTTCTGATGGGAACATCAGATCATTTGGGAACGCATCAGACGAGGCAGTGGGGAATGGTGGGGAGGACGAGGGGACGGGAGAGTGGGGGATGTTGGGGACAAGGGGACAGGGGACTTAAGAATGGTAGGGAGGACAAGGGAACATGGAAGTGGGGGATGGTGGGGAGGACGAAAGGACGGGGAAGGAGGTAATGGTGGAGAGGACGGGGAACTGTAGCATGGTGA